TGGATGTGACTGTGTTTGGTAAAACGGCCTTTAAAGAAGAGACAAAGTCACCTTCATTTTCGGGTGAACTCACCTAATGTGACTTGTCCTTCTAGGAAGAGATCAGGACGTGGCCTGCAAGGAGGACAGATGTGGGGAGAAGAAGGCTGTCGTCCAGCCCAGGAGCCACCTCCAGGGAACCAGCCCTGCCCACACCCTGAGCTGGACGACAGCCTCCGGGGTTGTTGTTGTTTAGTCGCTAAGTCGCGTCTGATCTTTGTGACCCTGTGGACTTCAGTTCTACAGGCTTCCCTGTCCTTCACTATCTCCTGGAGCTTGTTCAAACTCATGTCCATTGAGTCAGTGATGCCATCCAACCATCTCATCCTCTGTCGTCCCCTTCTCCTGCCTTCAATCGTTCCCAGCACCAGGGTCTTTCTTCAGTGAGTCAGCTCTTCGCATCAGGCGGCCAAAGTATTGGAGCTTCAGCTTCAGCACAGTCCATCCAACAAATATTCAGAGTTGGTCTCCTTTAGGATGGACTGGTTTGATCTCCTTGCAGTCCAAGAGACTCTCAAGAGTCTTCTCCAGCACCACATTTCAAAAGCATCAATTCTTCGGTGCTCAGCCTTCTTTGTGGTCCAACTCTCACATTTGTACATCTCACAACTCACAGCCTCCAGGGTGAGAGCGCTTTCCTGGGGTTCAAGCCGCCCGATCTCGGGCACTTTGTTGTAGGTGCCCAAGCAAGCCCGTACCCTGGGCAGCCTGCCATCCCGGGAGCAGCCCTTGGCCACTGGCCTGCCTGGGTTCCCTTCCACCTCCTCCACCGGGTCAGAGAAGGTGGGGAAGGACACCCGTCGGCCTCGGCCTTGAAGTGGTGGGTTTCCCCTGGTAACTGTGGAGGGCTGCCCTGGGAGTGACAGCCACCCCGCCTGAGTCTTGCTGGTTGTTGGAGGGACAGCCTGCAGCCTGGTGGGCAAGGTGGCACCCCTGGCCTGCAGAGGCTCCAGCCTGCAGGGGGCCGTGGGCAGGGCCCAGGGCTGGAAGGTCGGCCAGCCGGGGCCCAGCGCAGGCAGAGGTGGGGCTCCTGGGGCCAGCGGGATGGACAGCCTCCGTCCTCCCAGAGGGCGGGCTCACACGCCCCCCAGGTGGGAGCTCTGGGCTCCAGTCCGGCTGTGCCACCCCAGCTGCCGGCCCTAGAGCGGGTGGTCTCAGGGCCCCCAGCCTCCACGTCCTCCCGGCCCAATGGGAGGGGTTTTACTCGACTGGGCAGGTGGCGCGGTGAACGGGGTGAAGCCCTGAAGGGTCCAGCAGAAGGCTCAGAGGGGTCGGAGGGAGACCACCCGGCTGCAGGATGCAGGAGAGGGCAGGGAGGGTGGGAGGGGGCCCCGGACCCCCCCAAGGACCCAGCAGGGCTCCTCAGGCCTTCCTGGCCCGGCTTCTCATCCACGGGGCTCCCCGGGGGCCGGCGTCCTCGCCCCCGCTTCCCAGGGAGGAGCACTGAGGGCCGGAGGTCAGCACTCACCGCCCGAGGTCCGGGGCTGGCGATCCCTGCCACTGGGCCGCAGCTGAGCCCGGGTCTTCGGGGCTGGCCTGGTTCCGGGCACCAACTGCAGGACGCAGCTGGGGCCATAGGTGCCGGAGGCAGGTCTGCAGCAGCCTCTCTGGGCAGCCAGAGGGAGCCTCAGGGCCGCCCCACGGCTGTGGGTGAATGCAGGGGCAGCGCCAGCCCCTCAGCCTGCAGAGCGGGAGCTCCCCGGGTCCCTCCTGGGCCTGCTGGGCAGTGAAGCCCTGGGAGGCAAGCTGATCACCCGTTTCTCCGCCTCCTCCAAAGGGCCATGAGCTCCCGCCTGGGAGAGGAGGAGGGGAAGAAGGTAGCCGCTTGTCCTGGGGGGCTTCCCCAGGAAGGGCGGGCTTTCCCAGCCCCACGAGGACCCCGGGAGGCTGGGTGGCCCCGTCGGGTGGCAGGGGAATGGGAGAGCCCACAAGCCCGCCGCGCCTAGGGCCTGCCGTGGACACTGAGGCCGTGACCCATCGCTTAAAGAATCGGGGGTGGGGGGGAGACCTTGCAGCATAGGGGAAGGGTGGGCGGCGGGCCCCAGGTGCAGAGCCGCGGCACGCCTGCGCTCCGCCAGGCACCCCGGGAGACACAAGGCCAGGGTGGCCAGGGGCGCTCACCCTGCCACGGTGGAGCGCCGGCAGTGGAAGCCAGCTCACAGGGAGGGGCCGAGTGGGGCCCTGGAGGCAATCACAGGAGCGGAGGGAGGCTCACAGGTGAGCGGGCGCTGCCTGTGCCGCCGGAGTTGGAGCCCCTGTGTGGCGTTTCAGGCCCAGGGGAGGCGACGGGGGTGAGGTAGGGCTGGGGACGAGTGTCTCAGTCACTACAGGCGTCCTGGAGCCCAGAGGGAATAAACAGTTTCCAAAGGACTCTTCGTTTTAATCAGTTGTGGGAGGGTCACGGGCTGCTGCTGGGGTCAACCATGATGCATTGTTGCAAGGATCTGGGCAAGGTGATTCTCATTTTTTCCTGCCCGAAGGCAAATCTGGGTTCAAATTTGGGCTTGGCCACGGATGGATGGGCTGGTACTTTGGCTAAAAGTCCCTTAGCCTCTCTGATCCTCACCTTCCTTATCTGCAGGGGGCGAACTGACTGTTCTTTACTGCTGTGTGTGACCCGGCACAAGAGTGGCTTTGACGTGGCCAACACACAGGTCTGGCTGGTGCTCCTGCTGTCCCCGCTGGGTTCCCAGTTGTGGCCAGGCGTCACGGTCACCCTCCCACAGGGGGTGGAACAGGGTGGGTGGGCAGGACGGGGTGTTCAGTTTAGGGGTTGTTCTCTGAGTTTCTGAGTGGGCTAAAAACTACCTCCCCACCCAAGTCCGGGCACTGGTGAGCCCACCGTTGTCCTAAGCTTTCTCATTACTGTGCTGTCAGCTCTCTGGGGGACACGGTGTCCCTTGACTATCAGCTCTCGAGGGGCCAGATGCTCATCCTGAGTTCCAGGTGTCGGGAGGGCTGGCAAGCAGCACAGAGGCACCCACGACTCATGGAGGAGCTCTCTGCGTCGCTGGGGAGCCCTGAGTCTGCACTGTCTTCTGGAGCCAGACCACTGGACTACAGTAGCACCAAGTCTTCAGGAGAAGCTGGCCTTCCCCTAGCAGTGTGGGGGGCATTCCAGGGGCCAGGTGGGGCTGGGGGCTCAGGGAGTGTCCAGTGGAATTTCTTTCAGGAAGGTTTACCAAGGACCAGCTCCAGCTGACCGGCACACAAATTGCAGACCCACACACCTGTGCACAGAACGCACACCCACCCAGATCGCAGATGTGATTTACACAGGTTGTAAAACAGCAAGAAACAACTATCCACACCAGAGAGACCACTTCGCTTCACACTGTGAGCTTCATCCTTTACCTGGGCAGATGTGGGCCACCGGGCTAGCCCCAGGGACCTACCACCCGGCTCGAGAGGCAGCACGCGGCCGTGCCAGCAAACCCAACTCTCCCCTCCTTCCCTCCCTCCCTGCTTACAGAACGGCGGAACTGAAGGGTGTTTGGGGGAATTTCACATTCAGTCTGGAGGCCGGGGCACAGGGGTCCCAGCACTGCTTCAGCATCACTGGCTGAACTGTCTGTTCAAAACAGAGGGGATGGCTTGGGTTCTGAAAAGCCCCCCACTCACCTTCCCTTTAAAGACCAGCACAGTTGCTCTTCTACGAAGGGGTTTAGGGAGGCTTCAGCAGGCTTTTGAGGGGGAGCTGGGTGCATAGTTCTGGGCTGGGGGAACCAAGTGGAAGGGGCTGCTGCCCGCCACCCAGTCTGGAGGCTCCAGGGAGACCTCTAGGAGGCTTAAAGCAGTGGAGAAGAGAGGCAGTGCCCAACGTGGTCCGGGGCAGCCGGGTCCCCGGCCCTCATCCTCTGCGGCTGTCACCTCCCAGACACGTCTCCTTGGCTCCCCTTTTTGCGGCAGAGGGGTCTCCATGCAGGAGGAGCAGGGCGGGAGGGGTGCTGGCAAACTCCGCCTGATTAATATGCCAGCTGTGTGACCTCCAAGCTCCTCCCGAGGAGCTCCCGGGAGTCCAGACCTCAGCGTGGGCACGGATGCCCTATCTGCCGTGCGGGAAGGTGGAGAACAGGTCGTGGGTTGGGGTGGACGCGCCTGCTACAGTCTTGGGCGCCCCGATCTGGCTGGATTGGAAGTCCAGTCTCCACCCAGAAGAGGAGCTCTCAACTCCAAGTAAGTGAAAAAGTTAGGCGGGGTGAGCTGCAACTTTTTTCTAACTCCAAATGCTCGAACTCGGGGCGCCTCCACACTGGTTCTGGGGCTCGGCCAGGTGTGGGCACCTGGGGCGGGAAAAGTGGGCGTTCAGATTCTGCCCCGGTGGCTCCGTCCGCGCGCGCACGGCAGAGCCGGGGCGCCGTGCCCGCTCGGGTCCCCGCCCGCCCCGAGCCAGCCCCTTCCTCGCCGCCACTCTCCCGCTGGCCCCACCTCCCAGCCCGCGGTGCCCAGTGGGAAGCGGGGGCCGGCCCGGTCGAGCCCAGCGGCCGCTCTGATTTGCTGCAGGCGCCGGGGAGCCCCGGCCTCCGCGGGTGCCTTCCAGGAGCGAGGGCGGGAGGGGAAGGGGGAAAAGTGCTCGGCGCCCGAGGCGAGGTCGCACTCCTCCTGAGTCCCCGCGGCCGGCGCCGGACCTCACTCGAGCGCAGCGCCCAGGGGAGCGAGTCGCGGGGCGGCGGTGACGAGGAGGAGGCCAGAAGGAACCGGAGGGGGCGAGGAGGCCGGGGCCAGCGAGCCGAGCGGGGTCCCGGTGCCCCGCGGACGGAGGTCAAGCCCTCCCGGCCGTGGGCGAGCGCGCTAGCCGACCCTCCCGGGGGGCCACGGCCACAAAGAGAACAGGCCGGCGGCTGCTCCCATGACTCCCTAAGGTCGTGCCGGCCCCGCTGAGTCCGCTGCCCGGGCCGTGCCCCGCGCCCCGTGCGTCCCCGCGCGCCCGCCCCGCGCCCCGCACCTCGCGCCCCTCCGGCATGGACGTCCACACCCGCTGGAAAGCGCGCAGCCCGCTCCGCCCGGGCGCCCCGCTGCTGTCCCCGCCGCTGCTGCTGCTGCTGCTGCTGTGGGCGCCGCCTCCGAGCCGCGCAGGTAAGGGCGCGGGGCGCCGGGGCTCTGGGGGCCGGGGGCTGCCGGCGCCGGCACGGCTGTCATCCCCGGGCGCCCGGCCTCTTCTGCGCCTGCAAGACTTTCCCGGCTTGGCTGTGGAATGCGCGGCCCGAGACTCCGAATGCCATTAGTTGGGGGCCCGGGAGAGGGAGACGCGCCGGCACAGTCCTCCCCCGCGCCAAATGGGCCGACCGCCGGGGCCGTCGGGGGACCCGAGGATGGGGCTCCGTGTAGGATGCGCCAGAGGGGCTGTCCACCAGGCAGGCAGACTTTTGTCCTGAAACTTTACCTTCCCTGTCCCAGGCGCGCAGCACAACTTCCTTTCCTGAAACCCGGGAAGGGTCGCCCCCTAGAGTTACAGCGGGTCAGTTCTGGCCGGGCCTCCTGGGATGGGGGGCCGCGAGAGGGGAGGGCAGGGAGGGGACGGGAATCCCAGAAGCGGAGCCCCCCGCCCCCGACTTCTCCTGGGAAGCAGTTTTTTTAGGGTTTACCGCCCAGAGACGGATTCTAGGCTCAAGGTGGGGAGATGTTGCCGCGTCTGGGCTGCCTGGGGTTTACATGATGCACAGACGGGACTTCTACCAGAGGTCTGCCCTTAGAAGGAGCCTTCTCCTGCCCGACGCATCCAGCCAGCCAGCACCCACAGGGCGCCTGCTTAGATGCCTGCCGCCCCCACACTTTCCTGATGTCGGTGGTGTTCCAAGCATCACTTCTGCGGTTGCCTATCCCGTAGAGTAGGTCTTTCAACATCTTAGTTCTCAGAGCTCCTGGCCCTCAAAGTCTCCCAGCAGCTGATGGGAGATGGACTCAGAACAGGCTCAGTGGGAGTGCAGGCAGAGGGAGGGGACAGTGGCCCAGGAGACAGCTGGACCAGCCAGGGGTCCCCCCCACCCCAAGAAAACACCACTTTAGTTCCCTCACTCTGCTCTGCTTTGTAATTTGAAGACATACAGGAAGAATCACTTTCACCTTCCACTTACCAATCAAGATAGTCTGTCCCTTTTTGCTGGCACGTGAGTGCTTGGTGGGCCAGACAGGGTGAGCAGGAGTCAGGGTGTCCAGCTGGTCAGGGGCTGGGGAAGGCATGGGAACCTGGCCTGGCTCTGGGGGCCTGGGGTCTCAGCCCTGGACTGCCACCCGCGTTCCCTGGATCCTGGGCTCAGCTCAGAGGCTTTGGGTTTCTCCCGGGGTCACTGGGGGTGGGGGACAGCAGCGGCCTCCAGGGAGGTGGTGTGGAGCAGGCCGGGGGATGTGGCCAGGGCACCTGTGTTGGGCATCCGACAGAGACAAAACCACATAACCCTGCCCTGGCTCCTCTGCCGGGCCCCCCCCGGAGGTCAGGTGGGAGCCTTTCAGGGGAGCCCACACCCCCACACTCCGGGGCTGGGGAGCAGGCAGAGCGAGCGTCCGTCTGGGCTTAGAGTGGGCTGTTAGCCGTCTCTGCCCCTGCCTCCGCTTTCCCGTCCTGCCTGAGGCGGGCATGGGGTCAGCGCCTGGGCCATGGCTGTGGACTTGATGTTTGACTCCTGCCGAAGAGACGTTGAGAGCCTGCGAAGAAGCCACCTCTCTGGGTGGGTTTCACAGACCTCCCCTCCCAGGGTGGGACCCTTTCGGAAGGCATCCTCAGTCCGCGGGGGCGGCTGTCCACCGAGGTCCAGGGCGGGGCTGGGGGCAGCGCGGCTCCTCTCCATTCTGAGATTCACCAGATGTTTTCTGAGTTCTCTCCGAACATGGCTCTTTTTCCGACCTTCTTCTTGGCCAAGTGTGTGAAGGCATGAAAAGTCAGATTGCGTTTGGGGCCGTTTAACATTGTAACGGGCAAAGGAGAGTAAGTGAAATGAAACATGACCCCAATATTTGGAAATTGAGGTCATCTCCTCCACACACCATTGGTTGACGCTGGTCACGTGGTCGCTTTTGGCAATAATTTGGTCGGAAGAGTTGTCCAAGTTTTGTGGGACTTGACAGTCACCAAATGGTTAAATTTCCTCTGACTCAATCCAGTTGGCTGGAAAGACAGCCTTTTCCATCTTCTCCTCCCCTCCCCCCTCCTCCCCATAAAAGAACAGTCAGTGGGAGGGGTTCAGAAGCCAAGCTGGTTCCCCAAGCCTCTCTCTCCTCTGGTCCAGCTTTCTGTGGCCAGAGGGCTTGGAGCTGGGGTCACCGCCTCCCGCACTGGCCGCGGGCAGCAGTCCCCTCCCTGGGCTGGAAGCACAAAGGCCCTTCTCCCCAGTGCTGCTCCGGGGCTGTTCCTGGGGTGCCGGCCAGAGCCTGCCCCACCACCCCACCCTTCAGATATTTCTGGACTCTCACCACGGCCACGCCCTTCGTTGAGCACTGCCCGCCTGCCCGCCCTGCCTTCTGGCTGTCTGGCCCTGTCTCCCATCCCTGCCTCCACCCTGGGTCATAGATGGGGTCGGGGGGTGCGAAGGGGTGTGGGGAACAGACCGCCCCGCGGCCTCCCGCCCCTCACTTAGCAACAGTGCGCCTCCGAGGGTCGAGGATGAGTCAGGCACCCAAGGCCCCGCTGCTGCACCCCCACTGGAGCCCCGGGCTTGCCACGAGGAGCAGGGTGGGGTCCCCGGCCACGGGGAGGCCCCACGCGTGGTGGTGTTTGGGATGAAGTCGCTGGCCTTGCCTGGCGAACTCCTAGGTCGGCCCGCATCATCGTCTTGGACTCTCCCCCTGGCCTCTGGGGTGTGGTGGGGCTGTGTTCTGAGAGGCCCGGGGCGGGGGGCTGAGCCTGCAGACTCTGGGTCTGTCTGCTGTCTGTGCTGGGAGCTGAGTGGGCTTCTCCCTGGGGAGGCCTGGGGCTCACCGGGGCTGAGGGAGGGGTCCCATTTGGCCAGCCAAGTGTTTCGCTCTCTCCCTCCTCTCTCTCCCTCCTCCCTCTTCTGTCGCTTCCTGCCCCCTCCCCGCTTTTTACCCCAAGGCCATCAAAGGGCACCGAAGCCTCCACTCCCCTTTCACCAGGCCCATCACTCACCCGGGTGAGCTGCTGACTCCGGGAGCCCTTGCCTCGGCTGGGCCTGGCCGTGGGGAAGGCAGAGTGATGGAGAGCGCACAGGCCGGGGGGAGGCCCACTGTGGACACTGCTCGTTGCACTGTTTGTTCTCTTGGCCAAGCATGTTTGAAAACAGGGTGGAGGGTTGGCCCCTTGGGGAGCTCCGGGGCGGCTTCCTGGAGGAGGTGATGCTAACTCGACCGTTCCTTTCTTCTTCCCCTTCCTTTTGTTGCCAAGGGCCTCCTTAGCAGGTGCCTACCTTCCCCTCTGGCTGCTGTCTCATCCATCCTCCTTGCTGGCAGGACCTTCCCAGCCCCACCGCTTCGCTCTTCTCCCGGGGCTGCTCCCCTTGGCTGGAAAGCCCCTCATTAAGTCGGTTGGCGGGGCGCCCCCAGGGCTGTCTGCCCCAGGATGCTGTGCCAGCAGGAGTGGCTGCTGTGAGAAGAGGGAGGTCTCAGGAGGGACAGGAGGGCAGCTGGGCCGTCCTTAATGCTCTCTGGGCCCCACGCCGAGACCACCTGAGGGATGCCGCCTGCCCTGACCTGGGGGTCCTGCTGTGTTGGGCCCTGGTGGGGGGACAGTGCTTGGCGGTCAGGTCACTGAACCCAGGGCTGCGGGGATGGCTCCTCTGCCTGTAGCAGAGCCGGGGACAGTCCCCGTGCCTCAGCTTTCTCCTCTGGGAAACGGGGGGACACAGCTTCCTTGCTCTGAGAGTAGTTGTGTAGACGGATCGGGGTGATCCCTGGAGACAGTGAGTGGAGTGTGGGGGCACCTTTGGTAATGAGTGGAGGGTCTTACGTGGCTGCTATTTGGGGTGGTGATTTTGTGGAAGGAAGATGCACAGTGTTGCCACAGGCCTCTCTAGCTTTAAGTATCCAGCGGGAGGTTCTGGGCCCACTGAGACCCCGGGGGGGCTCTGCTGTCCGCAAATGGCTCGACCTGGCCCCTCCCGCACCCTCTTCAGCCTCCCGTGTGCCCCGGGGTCCGTCTCCCACGTCTGTCACCTCCTGGGATGGCAGTAACGTCACCCTAGGCCACGTATGTGGAAGGGCTCTACAAGCCCAGCAGAAGAGGGGTGCACACGTGTGTGTGTTTGTGTATGTTGTGCATGCATGTGTATGCATGTGGTGTGTTTGGATGCGTGTGTCTGCATGTGTGAGACGAGTGTTGGGCGTGTACATGTACACAGGTGTGCGTGCCCGCATCCACGCACAGGCCCCTGTGTTTTCACGGTCTGCCCAGGCGGGCCTGGTGTGTGTGAGGCGCCCTCGGCCAGGCCACGTCTCTCCTCCCCATGCCCCGTCCCTGCCGGGGAGACGGGAGGTGACCGGGCAGCCACGAGGCTGTGGGTCCGGCCCAGGACAAGCTGGTCCAGCTGGGTCTGATAATCTGAGGAGTCTTTTTTTTTGCTCACAGGAGGGCGATGTTAGATTATAGCTTCTGCTTTTCCCTCTGTTCATTTCTCCCCTGTAATCGAGTCATCTGGCCAGCACTTGGCCAAATATGCCTTGAGCTTTCTGGCCTGGCTCCTGGGGATACTGAGGTCCTGCGGGCGGAGCCTGTGTCAGCCCTTCTTGTGGGCAGAGCTGCCCCGCCACACCCATGGCCTGGAGGCCCGGTGTGGGTGATGCCTTGGGGTGGGCGGCCTGCAGCTGGGTCAGCATCCTGCCCACCCCCACCAGGTTCCCATCTGTAGGAAAGGGTGATGACTGTGGCTCCTGCGGGATTTTTTTTTCAGTAAGATTTTATTTATTTTTGGCTGTGCTGGCCTTCACTGCTGCTCGGGCTGTCTCTAGTTGTGGAGAGTGGGGGCTGATCTCTAGTTGCTACGCACAGGCTTCTCTGCGGTGGCGTCTCTTGTGGGCCGCGGGCTCTTGGACTCGCGCCTCGGGAGCTGCGGCTCCAGGGCGCTGGAGCACGGGCTCAGCAGCTGTGGTGCGCGGGCTCAGCTGCTCCGGGGCATGTGGGATCCTTGCAG